ACGCAGTTTTTTTACGAAGAGTGGCATCGAAAGCCTATACCCGCCAGTGTGGAACTTTAACCCGAACTAAACCTCCAACTGTCAAGTATTTCGTCGGGAGGCGGTTTGAGCACTAGGTTCGCACGTTCATCCCAGTCGGATGTACTCAGTTCTGGGCTACAGTAAGTTTTACCACGTCTTGTTTAAAGTGAAATACCTTTTTCTAAACTATTTATTTATCTCTTAGAGTCGTTTGACTAGCTTGGATTATATCGGGTACAAGGCATTGCAGGTTATAATTTAGCTCCTATATGCCTTAAAATTATGGCATGCCTTAAAGAATCGACCAATTTCCTTACATAATATCGGCCGCCTTCGACGAATTTGAGATGCACACGGCCACAAATATGAAATAAAACCCTTATAATTATCCCAACTTTGGACATTTCTTCGGTTTCTGTTCAACTGCTTTATTAGACTTGCTTTTTTTAGACTGGTAGAATATTTTCAAAGCCATTACTACTAATCTATAAAAAAACAATATGTAGTAGACTTGGCCTTTACCTGGGTTATTTAATTCCCGGTTATTTTTGATAGATTTTTCTTGCTAAAAGGCTCATAAACCTCCTTTTGACTGCCTAGATTTTAAATTCAATTCACATTTGCTTCATGAAATTTCATTTAACGTGTGTCAAACTTTTTGGCAAGCACACAATTTGGAAATCCCGAAAGAAACTGAAACGCTAGCTAAGGATCTAGTAAAAAATTACCTCTCGATTTCTTTCTAATACTTAGTTTGGGTTCGGCAAAGAAACGTCAAATTTTATATCAAACAAATGTCCTAATGCTGACAACACACGGCTACCCGTCGAAGCAGTGTGTTGAGACAACCCGCTTTTCTTGTTCAATACACACGTTGCTTGCCTCTACGGTTGATATTTTGATTTTCGGGCGACGATTGCGAAAAACACGAATTTCTATAACAATGCTACACACGAGGCAACGGTCGAAGCAACATGTCCTCTTCAACATCCACAGCCAATGAAAAACGTCAAAATTTCGTTAAAAACGTCAACCTTTGATTGTGACTTTGCTAAACAGAGTTAGAAACTATTTAACTGTACCTGTTGTTACTTATTTGGTTAATACTGGATAAGGTGAAAAAACTGCCTTTAAATTTGAACAAAACTAATAAGATATATTCAAGGATTTTCTTCGACAACAAAAACATTTTTCTCCTTCGCTTTTTTTGGAATCGAACTCGTAACCTACTAAACTCTTGTTCGCAACTCTATCTGTTTAACTATGGAGGTTGCTCTTATGAAATAATATGAATTACTTGCAAATAGAATTTTTGGGAAAAAATGATGCTGAAGAATACAAAAAGCTAGTTGGTATCTAAATCAAAATGGAAAATACTTCCCCAGGGCTAACTAGAATTGCAAATTGGTAAGGAAAAACCTAACATATTGACGGCCCCACTGTCTTATCCGATATACAGTCAATTCAACACACAAAAGTAAAACCTTTCTCGTCATACAACAACCACACTATTAGACCTCTCCTCATACCCGTACGAGTAAATATATGGTGTGGAAGCATGCACAATGGTGTCATCCTCCAGCTGAAGCATAGCACCAAGTACCACCGAATAATACTCGATAGCAAGCTGTCGTGGCGCTTCAATGTGGAGGCGAAGGCGAAGAAGGCCTCAGTGGCATTCTATGCATGCAGGAAGATACTGCGCTGCACCTGGAACTAAACGCCTTCTCTTTCTCACTGGAACTTGACAACGATAGTTAAAGTGATACTGTTCCATGGAGTATTGCTTTGGTGGACATCAGTGGAGAACACAACATTTCTATCAATCAATCGGCACAACAGGAGCGTTTAGGACTACATCAACGCCATCATTTTACACCTTGTTGCATCTGTTGTCGGCAGGGCTATCGACCAAGGATATAGCGTCCAAAGCTGCTGCCAGGCTGAAGGCTATAAGACAGTTTGTGCGTAGGACCTACTGAGACGTAGTAGAATAGCGTCAACTTTAGCCGGACGGGTTTACTACATGATCCGGAATCTTCACTTTGGGATGAACTTCGAGCCAATTTAGTGAGTATCTATATCGATAGTTAGGCTGTGATAAAGGCACAACAATCGCACAGCACATCCTCAAGAAGTGTGGCGGGCAGCTTTAGTTTTGCTAAATGCTAGTAGCTGTGCTGCGTTTCGTGCCACACCAAGGAAAGCTCGGCCATGAAAGTATCCAACGCTTCAGAAGTTGCAGGCCACATCCTCAGTCTGCATTAGTATGACAATCCGGCGGGAAATCTTGGGGAGGGCTTTGCAAAATCTCGTTGAGGGTACTTTTGACAATGACACCTTCGATAGCATGTGCCATACTGCTCTACGGCATTGAGTAGATTCTGTACTCGTAAATTGAATTCGCTCAATGCTGGCGCAGCCGGTCACAAAAATTCAGGAAGGAAGAAGGTGCTTAAAACAGTCACAATTCCGACTTCTCGGGAAATAAAGTATCCATGAATAATTCTGGATGCAAAACTATCGTGGAAATCTCAATGCCCTCCAAAGAATTGTCGGCATTGAGGTATGTCACGAAAGGGAATCCTTTATATTTATACCTTTATGATCAGACCCATAATCAGCTATGCGTCAGATTGTTAAAAAAAACAATCGCCGTTTGCTGTACGGGAGCCTTTCTCTACAACACCCGGTGCTGCTCTTGATGCACTTCTGCACTTACCGTCACTTTGTGTCTTCATACGTAGGAAGACCTAAGGGGCACCTGCAGACTAAAAAGAAATTGATCTTGGTATAACGCTGAACTTGGCTAGTCGGAGATTGTTTGCGACAGAGATCTGTGCACTTGTGTCTTTTCAAAGCCACAGGGTCGTACGCCACCATTGCCTTTATTGAGCACTGAGCCCGCACTCCCTCACTATCGAATCTTTACTGATGGCTGCAAAACTGGTTCTGGGTGACCTTTTAGCGACGATAATGTGCATAAACTTCACATTTCCATTGGGAATATGCTTCGGTCTTCCAGGTTAAGATATTTGCAATCATCAAGGGGAAGGAGTTTATGTAACTGTAGTGACAGGCAAGCTGCACTTAAGGCATTGGATAGCTCTTTAACTACTTCCAAACTGGTGCGGCAAGTCGCGACTAGCGATGCATCGAAACATCGATAATATCGGTTCAAAATTCGATGTTTGCCGTCGGTGTTTACGATTTTCTAATACCGCATAATTGGCGATACATCGATGCCAGTTTCAACGATGTTTTATATGTCGAATTTAGTGTGCATCAAATTTACTTTTGATTGAACTTACCTCTTATAAATTTGGGACCCATAGACCTAGCGATAGTAAGAATTTTAATTCTACGTACATATCTGTGTTAGTATGGAAAAGTAGCTTATGTCGAAAGGCTGGCTTTAGTATAATGCGGCATTGCCTTTATGCTTTAAACGACAAGGAATTTTTTGATAAGACTTACAGCCTTATTCTGTATCACGAACGATAGGCAACACGAACGATTCGTCTGCAGAGGAATGCTTCATAAATTATTCCGACGGCATCATTCTTTCAGGTTTTAACACAACCGGGACCATTTCAGCGTAATATATGAATAGCAAGACGAAGGCGACTGATAGAGTAATAAAATCACAATCAGAGATGTTGTCGTCCGCAGACGAATCGTTCGTCTTGCCTATCGTTCGTGATACAGAATAAGGCTGTTAATCAAAATATTGACTTGCTAGTATCGGAAAGAAATAGTCTTGCATGTTTATTTGCCAAAAATTGTTCAGCGCTTCAGCGTCAGTGAGTCACTCGCAATCATATGCCGATTTATACTAAATCCAGCCTTTCAACATAAGCTATTTTTCCATACGAACACAGATATGTATGTATGTATAAGTAATTATAGTAAGGGTATAGAAAGGTTAATTAAATAGTAGCAAATGCATCTATATCTATATGCATATCTATAATTGCATTACAGGAGACTGCATTGGTTGGGATTGAAAAAGATTAAATTTCTTTAATTTCACTAGGACCCCACACATAATTGTAAAACTCGGGAAACCATCGATTCCAATTCCAATGCATTTTAGCATCGATGTTGATTTCTTCGATGTATAGATGTTACTTTACAAAATTTGCAACCCTAGTCACGACTAAATTATGTTAGTTGCTTTACTTTGGATGCCAGTTCATTCGGGAGTACCTGGTAATGAGGCATCTGACCATTTGGCCAGAGAGAGCTCAGATCAGGTATTCGTTGGCCTGCAACCAGTTATAGCCCTCCCAGCTTCGGCCATCTAAGCCACCATTAGAATCTGGGTGAATACTTTGCTCAGCTATGACTGGGAAGCATCGAAGGGCAGGAGGGCAAAACGCATGTTGCCTTCAACCTCAAAAGGTCGTTCTAGTTATATGCTCTCATTGAGCAGACGGGAGAAAAATGTTTTAGTAATAAATATAAGAAAAGAGGGTCTATGATAAAAAAATGCGGTCTTTTACAAATGCTACATATTATAGTAAAAGAAACCTCGCGTGCCTCGGGCTATTACCGTTTTGATTCTAGTAATGCATTTTAAGCTTTACCTCAACTTTTTTGGAACTGTCAGTTAAGTTTCTTTGGCGCTCAAGGTCTCATATCTGTGGACTTTTGGAAAAACAACTTCTCTCGTGTGAGGTTATTTTCTCTTCAAAACAGTAATTTATTGAGTTCTTGAATGATATTTTTATGTTTAGTTATTAATAGGAGTAGTTCAAAATGATATCTTAATGAAAATTAAATAAATACTTAAAATTTGTAAAAGGAAGTTCCTTATAATTTACTCTAAAGCACATAGGTTTTTTTTTCAAAAGTCCACAAATATGTAGCATGTACTAACTATATAACAATTTTAGGACAAGTTCATTCACAGTTTCTCCGATAACTTCAATTATAATTTTTTTTTTATCAACATTTGAGACTCACCGGCAATTAAGGTCCAACCTTGAAAGGATTCGTTCAATTCATAACACCAACAGGCATTTAATTTTAATTGCTGCAAACATTCCATGCATTAATTTCACTTTCTTGCCACTTTCAATAAAATTTATTTTTTTTTTATTTTTTAATTAACCATGTGGTTTATAAATAAATAGTATGTATGTACAAATTATGTATGTATGTATGTCTATAAGCAGTATATAGAATATATATGTACATATACAAACAGACGCTTATGAATATACATACAAATACATGCAAAAATATATAGTGCTTTATTAATAACAATGCGATCTGTCTTATCAAAATACACAATGGCAGGCGACACAAGAAAACGAAGAGGTCGACCGGCCAACGCTGGAGAAGCTGAATGGAATTGAGCACGGCTACTGCACAAAGATCTCCGATCACCAGCTTAAGACGAACAAAACACTCAATTGGCACCAATTATTCATGATCTTTAATAAAGTTTTAATTACACTACAACGGTATTCAACTTAATGCAGCATACGAGTAGGTAAATGTGTACTTTTATGATTACTTCATAATCGATTACTTTATCCTAAACCAAATATAATCTACACAAGTCCACAAATAATTTTTTTTTAACTGTTTACTAAAGTGTGAATGATTTTAGTTGCGAATTTTTATTGAATTCAGCATTTTTTTAATTTCATTTTTCATTTCAATTATCTGCAGCTTGTTAGAATGTATACGATTTGTTTTTTTGTTTGTGTTTTAATTCGTTTTATATGTATGGTGCGTATAACGATAATTTAATGTGAATATCGTGCCCGCTCGCAACAACGTCTCTACATGGACTGATTCCATTAATGGTGCGCTGTTCGCCAAATGAATGAAGCTTTAATAATCTGCAGGGCGGCCCATTTTTTCACGAAGAGAACTCGCTTGTTATAATGTTTTTATATACATAGCTATTATTGAAGAAGACGATTTTTGTAGCTTTTTCAGAGAGTCATTTCGGAAGAGGCCTCAGTCAAAGAGTATCACAATATATGTACATAGATACATACTGAAGTGAAAATGCCGGTCTCTTAGTTCTCAAGCGCGGTTTTACTTAAACGCTTTTGATCAAAATTTATTTTTTATGTAAAAATGCAGTTTTGTGTTATTTCATTTCAACTAGGGCTAAGTTATAAACCTTTTACGTACGTACGTACGTGTGTGTTTCTGTATTTTTTTTTTTTAAAGAAAAAATTTTGTATTCTTTTTATTCTAGTGCTAGCGCTATTTATAACCGTCGAACCAACGATGCCAATTAAAAATGTCAAGTCCTCCATCTGGTCCATCCATCGCACAGGAAGTCTTCTTCTTCCACTTACGAGTTTCCAATACTAGAATACTTTCAGAGCTGATCAAAAGCTTTTTCTACTAATGAACTGAAGCATTAATCGAAACGAAATTTTTTACAAAATTTTAATCAGAACCGACAACCGAACCTTTTTTTTATAAAGGTTTAATATTCGACTTTGTGAGACAACATCAAGGCGCACGCCACAAGTCGGAGGAGAAGCTCGGTCAAACTCCGAAGTATTGTGCAAGCGCTAATCTATTATTATTAAACATTTCATGAGCATGAAATGGTATTACAACTTTGGTCCGATGTTTATAAGTTCCAGAATAAGAGGAGATAGACCAATGAAAATATATACTTAATGATTAAAACGTCGAGCTGAGCCGATTAAGCCATGTCCATCGGTTTGTATGCAATCTAGCCTCCCAGTTTTCGAAACGTCCAACTGAAATTTGGTAAGTGTGTATATTTTTAGAATGTACTAATCATTTGTCACTATAACATATACATAGCTCCCATACAACTGATTGTTCAGATATGAGATTTTTCGTGCGTTGGCGTTTTAGTAATGTACCACCTGTAGTTGGAGCTGTGATTTTGTCGATGAGTAGCAACTGTTGATTCAAGTAACTAAATTGTATTAGAGCACAAAATCAGCTCCGATTAAAACTGAATGTGTGTCGCCCGTCATCCAACTAGATGGTCGCCGCAGTCCCAAATCTAGTTAAACCGTCTCGTTGCCATAAGCATAAAGTTGAAGTGCCTTTGTTTTCATTGTCATCTTGACGAAGTTACGTGGTGTGGCAAAACTGAACCCGAGTCCACGAGAAACTGATAGCGATTGAGACGATCATAGACATGTAACCTTGTTCATTGTAAAGCCAAGCCCTTCTCCACTTGGTCTTTCCATCGCAGTGGGGGCCTCCCTCTTCCTCTGCTCCCACCAACGATTTCGAGTTGAATACTTTTAGAGCTAGCGTACTCGCTGTATTTCAATTCACCGCACTATGTCCATATCGTTGTAAGGCTCATACAGCTCATCGTTCTATCGACTGCGGTATTCGCCATTGCCAACGCGCAAAGGCCCGTAATTCTGCCGCCGAACCTTTCTTTCGAAAACACCTCATTTGACGAGAGTGACTTATAGAAAGTGATTTTTCTACGACAAGAGAGGACTTCACTTTTAAGGTTGACACTATTGGTATTAATGCTGGTTCCTTAGTAAACGAAGTGGTCTACTTTTTTAAACCTGTGACCGTCAACAGTTTTGTGAGCCATCACGCTTATGTCTTGATTGTTTTTCTGACGAGAGGAAACACTTCGTTTTGTCCTTGTTCATCACCAAACACACATCTTTTGCTTATCTATCTCATTCCGAGAAGGCAGAACAGACAGTCCTTTTTTGCCGGTGAGTGTCCTAATCTGCTCATTGAAAATGGGCCGGCTACATCCATTGGAATTCACTCGTATACTGCCTCACCTGGCCATCACTTCTGGTTTTCGGTCCGTAGCTGCAATATACTCACGGCAGTTAGCAATCCACACAGTGACACATTGACGACAACCCAGTAAAACATCTCCTTGATCTCCTCCAGAATCTTCGAGATTCCCAGGTGCCTTCCACTGGGTGCATTGAGGAATTCCATGAGAACGTCCGGAATTATAATCTCTTTAGTGAGCATTTTTTTGGCTTTAGTTTGAGACCAGCGCCAGTTATCCTCTGGAAAACTTTTTCTTCTGGTATTTCTCAAGGTAGGTAAAAACCTAATATGAAGATGTCTAAATACAACAAACATGTTTTCCAATGCAGTCTCTTAGGCACATGGTCCATAAGTCTTTCGAAAGAGCCAAGAGCATTGCATAATCCAAAGTGATTTGCCGTGAATTGTCACAGACCATCTCCAACGCTAAAGTCTATCTTCTTCACTTACCTCCACTTGCCCTCTTCAGATCAAGTGTTGAGAACCATTTCGTGCTAGTCAACGAGTCCAGAGTATTATCGATCATTTAGTTTCCGGTAGTTTACGCAAAACCGCATTTAGCCATCCGTGCTCTTCACAAGTACTACCGGCTAACTCCATGGACTCGCTGATGGTTTAATGATACCTCTTCCGCTCATTGCTTTTATTATGTGGCTGATAGCTTCACGTTTGTCTAGTGCAACACTCCGAGGAGCTTGACGGATCGGCCTAGCAGCACCCACGATTGAGAGAAATAGTGGTTGCGCCCATCACGGTACCGCTACGCCTCTCTCAGTGAATTTGACAGAATCGTTGTTTGTATGACGTTACACTTGTGCAACTTGTTTACGTTTTCCTTGCAACATTTTTTCTCTTCTTCCATTCTTGCTCACGATTTGGCATTTCTCTCTCGCAATTGCACCTGTGTGACGTCACACAAAAGTTGTTCTCAAAAATCCTCTCTGATGGGCGCAATCTTGTATTCTATCATTCTTGAGCAGCACCAGTATCGAGGCGATATTTTACAATGTTCGTTCTGCCTGGTTTGTTAATACCCCTAGAAGTTCCTTGCCTTGTTCTGGAGTTTTTCCTTCAAACCTTTCGTCCACACATTGAAGTCTTCCGCAATATCACCATCGCCAACAGAATCGCTTTCAAGTAACTTTTCGCTATCAGTGATGGCCTCAACCTCCTTCATGATTAGGTTCCCAATTTCGATCTGGATACCTTGGATCGCTACGCCAATTATGACTTCATCCACAATATCTGCCACTAGCGCGCCCTTTCCTATTGGCTCGTTTTAGTTTAACTATGGCTTAGTCAGCAGTGCGCGCTTCTACTCCTTAGGCCCTGGGTTCTAGGCGGCTGCCATTCTAGGTAGTCGGTTCGCTTACTCGTTGTCAGCAACTGCTATGTGACCTGGTAACCAAGTTAATTGGATCTCATTGTTCTCCGCTAGGTTGTTGAGTTTACAGTGCACTCAAGAACCAAGGAGGACTTGACCTCAAATGATGAGAGCGCCTTGAGTTCCGCCTGACTGTCAGGATAATTTCTTCGTAGGTTCATCTCTGCACACAGACAAATGGCACAGACCATCACTTGAAAGATACTCGGGTATGCCCCCATGGGCACCGAGAGTTTTAGCCTTGGTCCGTAGACGCCTGCCCAAATGCCGTCGTGAGTTTTGGAGCCGCCTGTATACATTGAGTCGAGCTCGCTTGGCTATACCTCTCCATGAGAGGTGCTCCAAGTTGACTTTGTGCAAAGCTCCATTTTGAATTTCTTGGAAAAGTTAACCACCTTAGGCGTATCATCTCTGGGGAGCAAAGCTAATGCATACACACGCCAGATGTTGAAGCTTGGTGAGGGATTGCCTTACCGTGGCAAGGGTGGCTCGAGACCCAAGCCACTGTCCCCTTTGAACTACATAACAGAGAGTGCTCACGAACTTCCCTCTAGCGATAATCACAATGTCATCTGCATAGCCTTGACAGCAAATGCCATTGTCCGTGAAAATCCGCAGGAGTTTGTCCACATCTAAGCTCCCCATGAGAGGGGATAAAACTCCTCCCCGTAGGCAACCTTTTGTAGTTTGTAGCTGTACCACGCTTCCTTGAATTAAGTACCCTGGCTATCCTCCTGAGGATTGTTGCCTGCACAATGCGTATTTCAAGTGCCCGGTCGACACTAACACGCCCCCTCGATGTCAATGAAGGTACAGAGTACTGTCTCCCGCACTCAAGGGCATTTTGTACTTCCGTAGATAAGGTGTACAATACAGTGTCCATAGGCCTACCTACTCTGTAGGCATGTTGGTCAGGGTGTAAAGGCGCCTATTTAAGAGTGGTGTTCCTGATTTCATGGTCGATAACCTTCTCCATAGCCTTAAGCAGAAAGGAGGTTAGACTTACCGGCCTGAAGGACATTGCGAGAGAGTAAGCACTCTTTCCTATCTTCGGGATAAATATAACCCGAGCCCTTTGCCACAGCTCGGTGGGCGAGCGCTAGGCTAGCCCACATGATGTTGACCAGGTGTGAAAGTATGAACTCCTTATCTTGCCTCAGCAACGCTATGCATCCGGAAAATGGGCCGAGGGCAGGGCAAGTGTACTTTCCATTGGCCAGCCGGATTGCTAGTCTGGTTTCTGTATGGTCCCTCGCCAAGGCTTTGTGCAGCTTAGCGGCTGCAGAAGTCGATGAGATGCCCTCACTGAACTTCCTGAAGCTGTCACATTTGACCTTCCTGATATCTTTAATGTAGTTGGCTAGACTGGTAGAATATTCAGCCCAGTGCCCTGTACGCTTTGATCTGTGGAGTAGTTTGCGTACCTCCTTTCTGAGCACCAATAACTCCCGAGACCACCAAGCATCCCTTATAGTGCCATTTAACTCATTACCGGTGCTCTCTAGTCTCATGCAGTCGACGTGCCTCAGTTATGCATTCTTGGTATTGCATGCGAGTTGTCTTATAAGGAATCTGTTAAATGAGTTTTGCGTGTAAGCGGCTATCTAACGCACAGCATTACATATGTAGAAGTCTGTTGGTTTTTGATTTCTATGTAAAAATGGCATGCTATGCAGTACAGTGCAAAGTATGCATAACTGAGCTATTACACTGAACTTCTGTTAAATTTGTCTTTAAATCTCGGTGTACTTTTACTAGTCGGTTTTTCTGGAGTTCCTTTTCACCTGCTTTGTTTTTACCTCTGCTCCTAGTGCATATTGGATAATCCTGTGGCCTGACAGCGAGGGCTTCGATGAGATCCCCATTGGATGACCGGGGGGCAGCCTATCTTTTTCTAAGCTCTAGTTCCTCTTCCCTAGTCCCTGTACAAATGTCGGTGATTTACCAACATTGTGGATACTAAGTTCTTCACTTAAAATGTACTCTAGGAGACCGTGCTGCCCCATTCAACATTGTGGGTGTTCGCATCGCACCCGATGAAAAGGTGGATCCGCCTCCTTCTACAAGGCTCCACTAGCTGCTGTACCTCGTGAGAGGGCGTTATTGCTGTCCCCGGGAAGTAGGCTGCAGCAAACGCCACCTCTAAACTTCTGCCGATTATCGACTGAGTCGTCTGCACTGCGGCCAAGTCCTATGTAAGAAATTCTGTCATGCAAAAATAATCAGTATTTTTTAAGCACTACACACGCTCTAGGCCTCTCGCAGGATAGGTCCCAAATTACCTTTGTTGTTATGGCTAAGGCACCTCACCTCGCCTCTGTAGGTTCACGGCTCTTGGATCCGTAGGATGCCCAGGTCATCCGTGACGAACCTGCTGGTGATGACCGCCGAAGCGGGCACTGCGTGGTGCAGGTTGGCTAGGCCAAGTACCGTGGAGGCAACCATCTATAGAAGAAATAAATCAGCTGATACGGAAAAATCTAAATTCCGCAAATTTCTGCGCTACGGGCTACAACTACGGACAAATTAAGCGGTGTTGAGTTTTCATTTACGTGGCGCTCTGGTAAGATATATCGGCTGCGTTTCTTTATACATTCCGGATAATCTTATGTCACAGCCGGAATAAACAGAATGTGTTTGAAATATATAGGTTAACATATCATCAGGAAGGTTCTATAGAATAAGTAAACGTTCAGAATGAATAAAGAAATGCAGCCATCGTGTCAGCTGCCTCGGGTTTACGTACCTGTGGGTTTATTTCGTTATTTCATTATTTCCTTACCCAGAAATTTATTAATTATTGAATCATGATACATTTACACTTTTTCACTACTGCACACACACAAAGACAATTAATTGTCAAGACAATTGTCTTCGTCGCCACAGAATATACAGCAATAAACCTTTTTGAGTACTCCTCGGGGGGTAAAATCTGATCAGGGTTCATAATGAGAAGGAGCATGAATTTTGCCGATTCAGAGTTGCATACAAATTTACTGTGGTATGAAAGGGAGCAACAGCCGCACTATGGCAGAGTGGCACAGGTAATTTTGTAAACAAACACTTTTCTTATAAATATAATAGATATCCAGCGTATAGCCAGAGGCAGTGGCATGTGAGTCTCACTAAAATCTACTCATCATGTTGGAGCAGCTCCGGGTAATGGACCATTGAATGTGTTAGCTGAACTTATGACCACCATAACCTTCGGAGTCTCCAAGCAAATGTGTGTCCTGAGTTTATACGGTAGCCATTCACAGCAATTACTATTATATGTGTGTATGATTCATATTTGTGACATTCTATATTTTGATGTTGAGTATTTTTGAGGAGCTCCGGGTAATGGTCGCTCAAACTTGGGTGTGCTTAATGAGTTCTATGGGCGGATGCGCTGGCAGGCTTTGGAGTCTCTATAACTATACAATCCTTGTTTTGTTTTGGAATAAAAACTTAAATATATTCGGAAACTTAGAATTTTTCCTTGATAAATCCAAAAATTCACGGTCTTTTATAAAAATATAATCAGTACTCAACTAAGTCGAAACTATTCTAAGTCACAGCTAAAGCTATTCATAGTCGCCTTAGTTTCGACTTTTCTGGTTAAGTACCAACTTAAAATTTAGTTTCGGCTGCAGCTGCAACTAACGGCCCTATTCCCACAACACTGACAAAACTCAGCGGCTGACTATTGCGTTTACTACTGCGCCTAATACTATGCCGCAAATTTATTTTAAACTCTCGTATGGTGACATTTGTCAGTGTTGTTATTATGACCTACTGAGTACGCGACAACGGCGAACCAACCCCAATGTTTATACATACATATTTTGTTTTAGGCGCAATAATTGTGACAATAGTCATACGATAAATTTTGTCAGTGTTGTGGGAATAGGGCGGTAAGTCGTAACTAGGAAGAAGTAGTTTATCAAATTAAGGGAACCAGACGAAATATGTCAAAATTAAGTTGGTAGAGGGTGAATTTGAAAATATTGAATAATCTCCAATTAAAATTTACAAAGATCGATCCATTTTAATCGGAAGATAAAATTAAATGCGTATTACAATTCGAGTAAAGCTACATCACAATTTTATAATTGGAATAATTTAGATAAATTCTCAAATAATAAGTCAGTTTCACGCTAGTTCTTTTAAAGTAAATTTGTGCATACCATTTAGATATCTACTATTTGTATGTTTCACAGCATGCTTTCGATAAACATCGACTTCACATCACTGCGTTTGTTATGGCTATTTCACACAATTAACAAGAAAATGATACCTTATTCTTTTGCATAATCATGCAATGAAAATAAAAATTACATAAACGGATGATCAAACTTGACATTATTTAATAAAAATGTAATTTTTCCAAAATATCGTAAAGAAAAATCGATACATTTTCACACTCGTTTTGCTATATCGTAAACTAAGCCGAAACTACTTAGTAGAAGTCTGAAATGCGACTATGAATAAAGGTAAATTTTAAGTTGGTACTTAAATTTAAGTTGCAAATTTGTTAGTTCCTTCAAAGTGAAATAGTGAACTGGCAGGTCCCTGAAACTCGCCCTCCTGTTATTCACACAATTTTCTGGTGACAAAATCAAAGAAGTAGTTTTTAGTAAACTTTTTTGATGAATACTAAAAATATATGGCTCTGAAAATTCGCTGCGTGAAATTTTTTTATTCTCTTTTTGTTCTTGCCTTTTTGTATTTGCCTTTGTAAGTTTTGAAAAATTTTTAAAATGACTTGAACGAGCCATTATAATACAGATAAGGTCTGCTATCAGCTTTACATTCCTATGCAAATTCTGAAAGAATATTTTCGATACTAAACTTTATTAAAATAAAATGTCGAAATCAGATTCATATAGAAACAAAGTCTTCGTTAATTAAAGCAAGAGATTTTCTTTAATATAATAATTGTATGGCACTCACATATCGACAAAGAACGTAAATAACAAGAAGGGACAACTCGATATAATTGTGGCGATAGTGCGCAACAGGGGCATGCCTTCTGTTTTCATCCATTCAAAAAACGTACTAGGGCAAAAGAGAAGGCACGCCCCTGTTGCTCACTCTCGCTACAATTATAACGAGTTGTGCCTTCTTTTTATCTACGTTCTTTGGTAAAGTTTTGGTAAGCACTTGAATTGCTACTAAAATGTCAAGAGTTATTACCGAATCCAAAGAAGATGTCTTCTTTATCCATTAACTTAAAAATGCTTTTTGTTAAGAAGTTTACCTGAAAATATGTGTATACATATTTGTGTTAAATGAAGTACATGTGTACCTGGAATAAATTTGTAAAAGTGTAAAATACGTAAATGTATGTACATAAACAAGAAACTTTCTCATGAATACCATAAAATCTTTGGTCTTTAGGGGAATGTACTAAGCAAATATATGAACAAATTAAAAAGTTGATACAATTTATAGTCGAAAAGTAGTTTTTGAATATATTTTGTACTGAAGGAAAAATTAAACTTCCTAACACTGTGTGTGAATAGCCTTCAACCCACAATCCCAAAACTTATTCAAAGTGTTTTCGTGGTCGGTTAGAACATGGTATAATGATTTAAACTAAAGCCGTTGTGTTTACAAAGAACCCGGCGCAGCTCTCTGCTAATACATCGACTTGGCAGCACTGTTTGGGGAGCTTTTTGTTTTGCCCCAATCTTCACTTGCATTCAGTTTTCGCGTATTTGTCAGCAATAACGGTGGTTGTTTATCAATCAGTCGGTGAAAGTGGGAGGCATTCGATAAAAATAAAGACGACTTCTTTATTTTTAATTAATAGCCTTTGGAAAAATACAGTGTGCTAATACAAATCAGCTTTATGACCAACACCAAAAACAACAACAAAGCGACAAACCGCAGGCGTGAAAGGCCACTGTGATACGCACTGGAACAAAGCGAGTGGTTGCAAAAGCCACCTGCAGCTAAATAAGTTTCCTCGCATTTACTCTGCTCACTATTTCGCTGTTTGAAAGTCAATATTTTTTAACAAACCCAAGCTGCAGCAATGAGTTCATACCCTTTCGTCGCACCCGGAACTGTAGGGTTTTTAGTAATAGCAATAGGGCTTTCTACGCTAACATCTGGTAGCGTAATACCTGCAGCGCTGCGGGGTGGCCCCGTTGCACCTGAACAAGGTCTTTATGATGCCAAGGATAAGGTGACAATACTTACAGTGAATAATTTTAATGATACAGTTCTGCTTCAAAATCGCTCCTTGCTTGTAGAGTTTTATAATACATTTTGTGGACATTGTCAACGGTACGCTCCGCGCTACAAAGCTCTAGCGGAACGTTTGTATCCGTGGCGAGAAACCTTACTGGTGGCGGCGATCGACTGCAACGCATTCGAAAACACTGGAGTTTGCCGTGATTATGAAATATTTGCATATCCTACATTACGTTACTTTTCACCTGGCTTTATGTGCAAAGAGGGAAGTTATGGTCAAGAGGTCAAAGCACATGTCGAACTAGATGAGCTTGCGTCAAATATGGCTCAAAGGTTAGCAGCAGAAAATGGCACGGACAGCTTGCCGAATTTTCCAAATCTTCACAGTGTCGGCGAAAATGATGAAAAAACACTTTTCAATGGCTTGGATAGCAATAAAAAATTTGTGATATTAGCGTACGAACCGGAAAATAGTACTTTAGGAGTAGAGAGTGCTTTACAATTCCACTTGTGGCCAGATGTACAAGTACGACGCGTCAACGACTTAAATGTGGCCAACAAATTCCAAATCGATGGTATCCGTTATAAGATAGCAACAGTTGATAGGCAAGGAAATGTAGTACCTTATGGAGTAGCAGAGGACACAGCCGCTGCATACGCGGCTACAATTGAAAGTTTTCTAGAAGCTCAGCATTTTAAACCGCGCTTAACAAAAACACCAACAACCGAAGATAGCATTGCACAAGTTACTGACAATGACAGTGGGCGAGCTGCTATTATCAATGAAGTGCTTCGTAATAAGCATTTCGTTTATCAGGTGAGTGAAAATGTAGAGAAAGTTTCTTACTTTGAGAAATAAGTATGTACCTATATATATATACATATATAACGTAATTAAAATTTTGGTATAAATATTAAGAGTGCAGAAAACTTATAAAATATCCCTCTCGCCTTTACGACTTTCACAGAACCAAAAAAGCCCCCAAAAATAGGTGAAAATGACCGGGGACTATGACTTACATACGAAATCATTTGTATCTATGTAAATTTCCATGCAAAAAATTAGCAAAGACGTAACGGTGTGGATTATATGAACACATACTCTAGGGTGCCCATCGAATGTTTTTTTTTTTTTGAGATTTCAAGAATCTCCCCCTAATATCCTTCCTTTTTATGAGACATATTATTGCCCATACTTGGAGAATGGAGAAGGTTATCAATTCGACGGAATATTTTTATTTCTATTTTTTTTATGTATGTTATCGCATAACTTTGGGCCACGTCAACCGATTTCGGTAATTATTTTTCTTTGGAAAGGTAGTCTCACAGGTTGTCCCATATTAATTTTGTTTAGATCCGATCATTTGATCATGAAAAAATTAACGGTATTCCAAAATTTTTGTACATATGAGAATTGAAGTCAGTAGTGTTTTTTACTTAAAAATTACTTGTTTAAAAACTTGGTGCCACTGTAAATTTGTTTTCTGGACCAAACTTCAATAAAAAGGGACCAAAATGAAAAAAATGAGACCAATTTGTTTCGCATTTCATTGGCATACAAGCAATGCTTGCAGTATTTTATTTAACAAAACATGTTCATAAACGCAAACATTGGTTTCTAAACAATAACAAAAAAATTTTCAATTCCAATTGCACCTAAAATAAAATTAACATACAATTTATCACATGCGGACAGATACATCAATTTTATACCAGAGACATAACTATTATAAGAGAAAAGAATAAAAGTCAGTCAATAATTATTAAGATACAAATTAATCGAGTCATCTATAATTATTATTCAAGGACTTATATTATAAAAGTCCTTTCATATGTGTATCTCAGTAACCTTTCAATGAATTTGTACCAAACTGGGTACGATTATTGTGCTCTCCACGTAAAAGCAAAGTGTTGAAAATTATTGAAGTCGGACTAAAATTATGCCCACTTTTCATAAAACGTAAATTTCTGTAATGCTTGTAACTTCGGAATTTAAGTACGCTAATTTGCTCAAAATTGATACTCCAATAATCCATTGGAAAAAAGTAACATTATTACGGAATTTTGGAAAATGGGCGTGTTTGACAAGTGTTTGTAGGACAGTTTATGGTTTGAATGCACCAATTAAAAGAACGTTAACAGATATGAATATGCTCTCTCCTTCTTTAGATTTAGATTTTTATTTGCCAAGCCCGGTATTACGTAATATCATAACTTTTTATCCCTGTTATAATGCTCGCTAGCTTAATTTGGTAATTTATTATTAAGACTTGTTATGTATCGTAATTCATACTTACATATGTACTTGTTAAGCTTAAAACTTTGTGGTAGTCTGTACTGTGAATTTATACTAATGGCGATTTCGTTTCTACCAAAAATGTCGTCTTTTGATTGCCCCTTTCTCTTTTCGTGTCCGGTTCTAACTAAAATAAAGACAAAGGGTGAGCAAATTTTGTGTTCATTTCTTAAAATGTCACACTCTGGTAAGGCAAAAAAGGCACATTCCCTGCACTTTGAAGCTTTGTCAGGGATGATGGTTGCCCTGAAAATCAGATCGTTGCTTATAACGACAACATTATGAGTTCCGTGAGATAGGTACGGACAATAAGGAAAAAAATGCCCTTTTACAGGGTTAAGTGTAACATCTAACACATTTTGCACCGGGGAAGGGACCTTTTTTTTTGAGGAAACGAAATCACCATAAATAAATAAATATAACTTACCTATAAGTTTATCCCATTATGTCTAACTGAACGTACTATTGAGGATGTTTGAAATACGGAAACGTGAAAAAACTATATTTAGAACTTGCGCCGGGTATTTAATTTTCGGCCCCGTCCGAAATTAGACTTTTTTACTTGCTTCAAACTAATTTTATTAAAAAAAAAAACTCGATTTTGGAAATATTTTAAAATCGGTACAGCTCACGTTGTTGTTGTTGTTGTAGCGGCTACACCAACCCCGCCCAGGACGGTTGGTATCTCAGTCGTTGTCGTCAAGTTCCACTAACGGCAACCCTAGGAAGCGTGCAGCTTCTGTGGAGTTTGTCCACAGGGACAAGGCCGTTAGGGTTGTCGGGTTTTCCGGGCATGCGAAGAGATGTTTCGAGTCATGTGAGGTCTCTCCGCATGCCGGACACTCATTCGGCACATCCTCATTCAACCTACTCAGGTAGGATTTCAACCTGCTGCAGTAGCCGGAGCGAAGTTGTGCAAGTGTTGTGCGAGTCTCCCAAGGCAGATGAAGCTCCGTCTCGTCTATGTCCGGGGGTGGTATGCCTAGAACGGCATTCACAGGTCTAGAGTCTACATAACTCGAGACTGAGTCCCTGTGAATGCCGTTCAGGGCCTGTCGGTAAGCTGTCGGGTCCAGAGGTTGCTTGATGAACCTCTGGACTTCGTCTGTCAGTTCATATAGATGCCTCCTGACGTGCCTAGGCGAGGGCTCCTCTGCAAGCAGCTGTCTGCTTGGGTGGCCACTTCTGTGGCTCCCGATCAGGAACTGCTTGCAGAGCAATATATTGTGCTCCTTTACGGGGATCTTAATGCTCACGTCAATCTTAATGCTTTCCCAAATTTTTTTGGCGGAAGTCCTAAAATATATGAAAACCCGCAACTTTATTTGGCAAGGCACTCTAATGTATGTATATATGTAATACATATGTAAGTACCTGACTTGATAAATTATTATTGCATATACTAAATAGCATCACCAAATGTTATATGAAACTAGTAAACCCTCATGGCGTTAAAAATTCAATTTTAAAAACTAAAAAATCCTCCAAATGTTAGTCAGAGTTATAAGAGATCCGAGTGCCATATTTCATCAAAACCGTGCAGCCGTCATTGTTAACTCTCCTTCGCCGGACACTACTATACGTATTTGATTTAATTGATGAATTAAGTGGAATTTTAATTTTCCAACAACCCCGCTAAATACATTTCAGAAATAACCCCCTTCGATTGATACCCATATTTTAATAATTCATTTAACTTATAAACTATTTTGATTTTAACTTTTTAAACAGATGGCGACCCTCTTCCAACACCTCAAAAATATTCTTAAATTTCAAACTAAATATTTATTAACACTCCTTCGTTTGACATCCACATTTTGATATTTGGTGTAACTTGTGTATAAGTTAGCTAAATTCGACATATTTATATATTTTCAAACTACTTTCTGAAACCCCTTTCGTTTGACACCCATATGGTGATACATATCGTCGTTTTAAGTACCAGACCGCGTATCGTCATTCTGCAAAACCGCGTAACTGACATTGGCTGCCAAAAATTGGATTTGCTCTCACAAGCTATTGGCTCAATCCTTATCCATTCGTCCTGAAATATACTAGCCAGAAATGCTCTTGCTTTATAAAAAAGAGAACCATTTTGAAATAGGAATGTTTTTACGCGCTAGAAAATAATTTCTACAAATTCACATACGCGGTTTTACATTTTTCTGATACGCGGTTTTGCATTTTGTTGATACGCGGTTTTGCACTTTAAACGACGATATTTCTCTTAATATGATTTTTTAAACAGATGGCAACCCTCCTATACTTCAGCTGAGAAACAAAACTTTGCAAAACCATTTCGATTGATACCCATTTTATAATAATTGATTTATTTTTTTTTTAATAATTTGAGTATAAAAAAAGTTGGCAACTCTTTTCGAAAAAGTAAAACCTATTGCACATCTTCAGTCCAAGGCTTTTAGTTTGGCGCCTCATTTTGGAAAATCGAAAGAACGGTGCGGATTTGATGGCATTGACAGTTAAAAATTATTTGATTTTAATTTTTTAAAAGCTGGCAACTCTTTTCGAAAAACTAAAACCAGTTTGCACTTCTACATTGCAAGTTCTTTAATTTGACATCTCTTTTTTGAAAATTGGGCGAACGGTACAGAACTTTTATCCTGAACAAAAAATCCCTTCGTATATTGTATATATAGATTGGCCATTTCTGACAACCCTCGATCAAACTGGTGATTCTATTCTAAACCCAACCTATGTGTTTTACTAACCAAACGTAATGAGGCTCTGAATTTTACGAACAAAGTTCTTTGGACAACATTACTTGTGGACAGTGTTGCCGTTGAGAATTTTCAGAAAGTCGCAAAAAAGGGGTAATTCACAAAAAAAAGGGTCACCATATTATGTTTGCTTTTCCTTAATAGCAACAGAATAAATCTGCTAGAACATTCCGTTTTTGAATTTCAAGAGAAAGTAGCGGGACAAGCTTTACACAAAACAGGGTTGGAAGCATACCAGAAATCAAGTTGCTGCAAAGAGAAAAGTTGTGTTTCCTTTAAAAGTTTTAAGTGATGCATTTATAGTTTATAGTAGGAAGAAATATTTTTTATAGCATGGTTCTGTTAACATTTCCTACAAAAACTCCTTAAAAATGGCAAAAGTCGCACATAATTTTGGGAAAGGGTCAAAAAATCAAAATTTTCATAAAGTCCGGTCAAAGGCTATTGACGCCTAAAAAGGGTAAAATTGCCTTTTTAGTCGCACAACGGCAACACTACTTGTGGATTAAACTGAACTCTTATTTATTTCGTACTTTAGATTTAATAAGTAAAAATGTATGTTCTGCTGACGTTGAACTGTGTGCATTAATGTCTAGCATGTTGTCAAAGAACCAAATCTTTCACTTTACCAGAACAGTGTTGATTTTATTAAATACATTTAATTGGACCAAAGTAGTAACCGTTGTCGCGACTCGTCATTTTAGGTCATAAAGTACGGTTTTGTAGATTGATCAGTTTTTGAATGACTATTTTTCTTTCGATTTTAAAGATCGGATATGTTGT